AAACATGAGTTAGAATTCTGAGAACTGGAATTCAAGCATTGAGAGCAGAAGTTAAACATGCCAAATAAATAAACTACGTGTCATCATAATGGATATGTTTTCTTTTAAATGGTCTGAAACACCAGTTCTGAGGATTGCTTATGAGTTACACAGAAAGCACAAAAGAAGAAAAAAAAAAATTAGAGAGAATATGTAAGAGTACAGCTCAGCAATGGCATTTATTATGGATGGGGCCAGTTCAACTCATCCGGGTAGCATTTTTATACTGAATAAACTTCTTATTCTACTTGATACAAAAATAGATTATGAATTCAAAGGAAGACATTTTCTTGTATATTTAGTCTTTTTAACACTGATCATTAACTTTTCATGGGGATTTTGGGTAAAATGTGCTTTGAAACATGTCTTAGTCACATATGCTTTTATACATATTAATACTTTATATTCAAGCTCAAAAGAGAAATAGGGAATACAGACAATTCTCTCTGTTCTTGTTTTTATGATAGCAGATGTCAAAGACGGAAATGATCCAAGGGGGAGGGTAAAATCAGTTCTGCGGGGGAGAGAGGCCACTGGCAGGAATGCAGCCCTCGAGTAAGCCTGAGGGGACAGATCCTCTGCATCAGGAGAAAGGTGTCCTTAGTTGGAAGCGGGAACCGTTAGCCAGGTTGCATGGGTAGAGAGTCAGGTAGGTTGGTAGATTTGGTGTTGAGGGTGCGTGCATTGTGGGAAACAACGTCAGCTGAGACTCAGGAGAAAGAATGAGGCATGAGGAGAAAGAAGATGTGAAAGAATCCCTTGAGCGACTTACTGGGGGCCCCACTTGAAGAGAATTGCCATGAATTTTAAAAGAGATTGGTTCAGACACATGGGCAACAGTGTGAAGCAGGCAGAAAACGGAACTTCATCAAGGCTTTTTCAGGCAAGTCAGTGGAAAGCATGGGAACGAAACCAGCGGTGGGCTTGATGAACAGGAAGGTTTTGGTGAGACCAGCACCTTGGAGGTCCTGGTGGCATCAGACATTTTTCAGAGACAGGGTTCCAGGGGCAGCTGGCTGTAAGTGAGGAGGTGGGGGTTGGAGAAAATGGGCCTGAAATTCTGATTTGGAGAAGGTGAAGTTCTTGGTAATGGCAGGTCTAGGGTATGTCCCTGCAGGGAGTGGCTTGGATGGGTTTGAGGAAAGGTGACGGGGTATGAGCAAGACAAGAAACCGAGTGAGAGGCTCAGAGGCCGTGTGGACCATTTGCCTGAATATTGAAATCAACTAAAATGTATGTCTGAAGTATGAAGGGAGAGGGAGAGGGAGAGGGAGGGTAGGAGAAGAGATGGAAACAGTGGGATAGGTTCTAAATTTTTCAAAGAAAATAAGTGGAAGCACCGTAAGGGAGGGTAGATTGTGGTAGAGTCTGATGCCATGTACTTTTAAAATTAATATTTAAGCCCTGGCCGGTTTGGCTCAGCGGTTAGAGCGTCGGCCTACGGTCCTGAGAGACCCGGGTTCGGTTCCCGCTAAGGGCGCGTACCTCGGTTGCAGTTTGTCCCCGGACCTGGTCGGTTGTGCGGGTGGCAGCCACTCGATGTGTCCCTTTCACATCGATGTTTCTCTCTCTCTCTCTCTGTTCCTCTCTCTCCCTCCCACTCTTCCTGAACAAAAAATGGAAAAAAATGTCCTCGGGTGAGGATAAAAAAAAAAAATTAATATTTAAGAGACATGTAAATGAAAATGTTGATAACCATTGATGTCTGCCAGAATAGAGGTTACATCAGATGCAGCTGATGAGTTTATATCAAATATCAGATAACACACCAAAAATGATTTTATATACTTAGTAGTGAAACTAGAGGGCAAATTTTTATCATGACTTTGAATGTTATTTCTACTCTTACAGGATTAATAAGAAATTTCCAAAGTCAGGACGTTGCCAGCGACCTGCTAACTTGAGAACTGTGAGAGGACTGAGTGAGAATACTAATGAAGTGTTTGGAAGGGGACCTGGCCAATGTAAGTACCTGATGACAGGTCATGACGGGTGAAACCGAAGACGACATTCTATGTTGGAGAAATTCCAAATCTGCGTTGCCACATTTTTTTTATACATTGTTTTAAACACAAAACAACATTTACACCAAAGGTCACCTTGATCTACACTGGTTTTCCCTAATGTGTCCTCCAGATGCTTTATCTAATATTTCTGAGAAGAGTCTTTTTTTAAGAAATATAAACTCGCCCTGGCCAGTTTGGCTCAGCGGTTAGAGCGTCGGCCTGCGGTCCGGAGAGACCCGGGTTCGGTTCCCGCTAAGGGCATGTACCTCGGTTGCAGTTTTTCCCCGGCCCTGGTTGGTTGTGTGGGTGGCAGCCACTCGATGTGTCCCTTTCACATCGAGGTGTTTCTCTCTCTCTCTTCCTCTCCTTCCCTCCCACTCTATCTGAACAAAAAATGGAAAAATGTCCTCGGGTGAGGATAAAAAAGAAATATAAACTCTGCTTCTGAATGTTGTAAGTACTGGGGGAAATATTTAATAATCGACATTAAAACAACTGCCCTGGCCAGTTTGGCTCAGCGGTTAGAGCGTCGGCCTGCGGTCCGGAGAGACCCGGGTTCGGTTCCCGCTAAGGGCACGTACTTCGGTGGCAGTCTGTCCCCGGCCCTGGTTGGTCGTGCGGGTGGCAGCCACTCGATGTGTCCCTTCACATCGATGTTTCTCTCTCTCTCTCTCTTCCTCTCTCTCCCTCCCGCTCTATCTGAACAAAAAATGGAAAAATATCCTCGGGTGAGGATTAAAAAACAAACAAACAAACAAAAAAAAAAACAAAAAAAAACTGACTAGCCATATTTTTATAATTATGGGTACATATTAAGATGCCAAACCCAGAATCTGTAAAGTTAGATATATTTGATCATCTATATTTAGCAAAAACAAATGACTAAACCTTAAACAAGGTTTTTACTTTTTAATCTTAAGCAAGGTTAGAAGGCAAAAAACAAACATAAAATTAGTTGTGGCATGTGGGATGAAAACGAATATTCTTTAAAAAAGAGGTTTTGTAAAACAATCAGAAAAAAACAAACCGTAAATTCTCTAAAGAGCAAAAGACATGATTATGAATAGGGATTGAAAATAGAAATGGCTAATGAATATATAAGAAGATACTTTCAGAAAGAACTGAAAGAACCTGGACTTCTTTGTTTATAAAATCAATAGTGCCCAACTTTAAAGAGGAGGCAGAGAAGCAGCCCTCTCCATTGCTGTTAATGGGAATGAAAATTAAAACAGTAGCGACTTTCTGGGTGTCAGTTGGCAATTTTTATCAAAATCCTAAATATGCATACTCTTTGACCTAGCAGTTCCCCTTCTAGGAATTTATTCAGAGGCAGTAAGGTGTGTCTCAGCATCAGCAATAGTAGAAAAACATTTGAAAGTGTTAGCAGTCATGAGAATATACATCCCACAGATTGTTGAGTGAAATGAGTATGTTACAAAATAGCATGTGTGCTTTTAATTGCAGTTATGTAAAAACATGTGGGTGTTTGTGTATGTGAATATATGTGTGTGTTCCAACTTATGTTTAAAAGAATGGTGATTGTCTTTGAGCAGTGAAATTTCTGATCATTTTTACTTTCTAGTTTATGTTTTTGAATATTACTTGAATTATGTGTGAGGACCACTTGCAACCTGAGATTAGATTATCACTGCTCTGCGTCTTTGCTCTTGTTCTCCCCTCTGCCTGGAATACCCCTGATTGCCTTCATTTCTCTGCTCAAATGCCCCTCCATTAGAAAGGTCTGCATTTACCATTCTATTTGATATAGAACACCACCCTTCTGTGCCCATGCTCCATCCCTCACCCGTGTCAGTTTTCTATGCTGTATTAACACCATATTTTATATATATATATATATATATATATATATACACACACATTTCCTTTATTGATTCTAGAGAGAGAAGAAGGGAGAGGGAGAGAGAGATAGAAACATCGATGAGAGAGAACATCGATTGGCCACCTCCTGCATGCCCCCCACTGAGGATTGGGCTCACAAGCTGGGCATGTGTCCTGACTGGGAATTGAACCAGCAACCTCTTGGTGCATGGATCAATGCTCAACCACTGAGCCACACCAGTTGGACCACCATATAATATTTAAAATTTTTGTTTATTGTCTGACTCTACTCCTCCCCCACTAGAAAGTAAACCCCACAAAAGCAGGACTTTGTTTTGTACTGAACTGTAACCCCAGTGCTGGAAACAGTGTCAATCAAGTATCAGGCACTCCATAAATATGTGGTGAATGGGTGAAAATACCCATATATGTATGTTTGTGTGAGTGTATGTGTGCACGTGTGTGTATGTATACACACGGATATGTGAATCGAGCATCTTTTACCTTTGCTCTAATTCCCTACAAGAAATTCCTTGAAAAGACCTTGATTGAAAAGGAAGAGAATGATTAACTTCTAAGCACTTCATGTTTTGTCTGGGGCCAGCCCTACCAAAGAAAAAATGTTTACCTTACATTCAGCTTAATGTCTATGCTGAACTTTACTTCAACATTGATAGTGATACCTTTAATTGAACTATCAATGCAAGGGGGGAAACCCACCTATTTATCTCATCTGAATCCCTGATCATTTTTGAATCGAATTAAGTGCGTTGCTCCTGAACTGCTGAAAACCTGTGCTCACATTTTGTGAGCAGTTCCACGGGAATCCAAGAAGGAGCACAGAAATTTCAGTGTCAACAACTGTGAATTTCTTTCCCCCTACATCTTAGAACACAGTTTCCTTGGCTAAAAGGAGGGACCCTGGGTGTCCCTCCGCTCACACAAGTAGGGGTCTGATGATGCCTCTGCCAACCCAAACTCAGGACGCAGGATAAAGGCCCGTCACCCACCCTCACTGCGGCTGATGCTACTACCACGGAGACCCGCGGGTGCTTTGACTTCACGGAGCTGGTGATCCCACTTAGGATGGGGGGTGGGGGTCAAAGTTGCGCTTACCTGTTTATTTCTCAGGGGCTGAACCACTTCGGTGATGCACAGCTCTAGGTGGTTGAGATAGTCCCTTTCCGTCTGTATCAGCTCCGCGATGATTTTGGCTCGCTTTGCCATCATTGTCTGAGCCAGGGGCTCCGCCGCGGCGCCCTCGGCCTGCGGGGTCATCTTCTCTGTGAAGTGAGAACGTACATGTGAGGCATTGTGCTGAGGCTCCTTGTTCCTTCACGACAGACAAGCCACCGCGGGGCTATTGTTCGCAAGGAAACCCGCTGAGGGTGTGGGCAAGGCGTGTTCTTAGAAAGGGATGATGTGCGGTAGTTCCCCTAAAGTCAGAGTCCTGTGAACATAGGAGCACAGAGGGGTGTGAGAATAGACTACTTTTGACAAGTCAGTTAAATGATATTCGGCTGCCCTGGTTCGTCTTTAAAATATCGCATTGCTACTATTTATGGGATACACCTGTCTTCAAGCTAGAGGGAAAATGTGTAAAAACACAGTTCAGAACTTCTGGACACATGATCTTTTTCAAAATTCATTTTTAATTATTGTTGACATACGATATTATATTATTTTCAGGTGTACAACATGGTGATTAGATGTTAGCATACCTTGCAAAGTGATGGCCACCTCAAGTCTCGTAACCAAAAGCAGTTATTAAGCTTTCATTAATTATATTTCCTATGCAGTACGTTAGATCTCTGTGACTTACTGTATCACTGGCCGTTTCTACTTCTTAACCCTTCACCTTTTGCCCATCCCCAACCGCTCCCATCTCTAAACCATCCGTTTTTTCTGTATCTGAGTTTTCTGTTTGGTTTTGTTCACTAGTTTTTAACTTGCCACATATAAGTGAAATCATACAGTATTTGTCTTTCTCTGTCTGATTTATTTCACTTAGCATAATACCTCTAGGGCCATCCATATTGACACAAATGTCAATATTTCATTCCTTATAGCTGGGTAATAGTTTATCATATACCTTTCAAAATTAGTGTTTTGGATTTTTTGAATAAATACCCAGAAGTGGGATTGCTGGATCATACGGGAGTTTTATTTTTCATATTTTGAGGAACTTACATGCTGTTTTCCTTCGTGGCTGCACCATTTTACAATCCCACCAACAGTGCACCAGGGTTTTCTTTTCTCCACATCCTCACCAGCACTAATTCTTTGTTGTTGTTGTTTTGATAATAGCAATTCTGAAAGGTATAAAGTGGTATCCCTTGTGTTTTGAATTTGCATTTTCCTGATGATTAGTGCTGTTGAGCATATTGGAAGACCAATGTCAAAGAATTTTTAATCTATTTTGAGGTTTTTTTTTTTTTTTTTTTTTTTTTTTTTGTTTTTGTGTAAGAAAAGGGTCTAGTTTCATTTCTTTGCATGTATCTTGGACACATTTGTTTTAAATAATAGGAGACTTTTTAATTAGTAAGTGGAACACTTTCCATCTTTTTGGTTCCTATTATTAAAACTAATTGCTCCACATTCTAAATGGATAATATGCAAACCTTACTAACATGGAAAACAACTGCATGAGTGGGATTGTTCTTTCAATTCACAATCAGAATTCATGAGAAATGAGGCTGTGGTGGACTAAATACATATCAGCTAAGATTTTTGCATGGCTTATCTTCAATACTGTGCATATCTTGCTATCTCAAAATTCTTGAACTGAGAAACAAATTTTTCATTAAAAATGACTGAAGATCTATTGAGATCAATGGGAAGCCTCATATGCAGCCAGGGTTTTATATAAAGTCTAATATAAGAAAGCTAAATATTTTCAAGGATGAGCCTCTCTCAGTAATGTACAATTTTGGAAGCCACAAACTAGGTCACCAATGAAATCAGAGCAGTAATAGAGAGCAGGGCAGTGTGTGTGTGTGTGTGTGTGTGTGTGTGTGTAAATGAATTTGCTTCAAGCTCGAGGTCATCACAAACTTAATTTTTATCTTAGTCTCTGCAGCTGCAGAAGTAATTTCATTTCCGTTAAAGCTAATACAATGTTAGTAACTGATATGTTAGACATCTTTGGTGCTGACACCACTTCCTGAGAATGTAGAGCTTTTAAAAGGTTTCATAAAGACTCTCTGTGGGAAAACAAAAGCGCACAGGTCACAATGTACAGAAAGAGAGGATACTCTCTTGGATGACTGCAGAAATGAAGCTAAGAAAACTGGAGAAACTTAATTATAGCGAAGTTAATGGTTCCATGAAAAAGGCCTGCCCCGAAAATGTGAAGAGGCACTTGGAAAGTAGTGAGTCCTCCTCTCTTTCTGGCCCACTAATTTCAGGAGTTCCAGCAGAGGCTCCATTATCAAACATCTGTGGAGAACGCCTTGAAGGTAATTCCAGTGTTAGTTGAAAGAGGCACTAATTGATCTTTGGCCAATCCTGACTTTCATGTAAATACTCTTCTCAACCCTCTGCCTTGAAGCTCTCTTTCCTTCATCAGGAAAGAAAATGGATTTGACAGATGCTATCTGAGAGCACACAGTTTTACAAGACTTGGGCCATTTCAGTGCCAGGAAATAATCCACCTGAGTTGTGGAAGAAGAGAGAATCTATACAAAGAGAGAATGAATGCATGAGGCATTCTGCTGTCTGCATATCTTAATCTATGCTCTGAGCATTTTTGGATGCTTGCTAATTTATAGCACATTTAGTGGAGAGTAGAAGAAACTTGCTTCCCAGCATCCCAAATTTGAAAGAAAAAGTTACAGTCAAATGTCATTATTATGAATTATTTTGGATATAAAAGAGGAAGGCAGGTCCCTGGTGAGGGGACCTGCAGTGAGCCGGCTGTATACACCACAGGAACTCTTGTGAGCCTCTTGTTGGCTGTTTCTTCTAAAAGGGTCCAGGTTGGGAGACAGAGGGCAGAGGGGAGTGATGTTTTGTTTTGTTTTGTTTTTTTGCTCCTGGGATATATGATGTAGCTCACAGGAAAAACAAAATCAAAACAACAACAACAAAACAGAACTCACTAGTACAGAGCTGATAAACCAGTGAAGATAGTATCTAGTTATTAGTTAACATTACCTCAAAAATAAAAGGAACACTGTTGAAATACTGTTCTGACTGACATCTGCTTTTCCACATCTAAACCTGTTGTGCCTCATAAAAAGGATCCATCAGTCATTTGTAGGCCTAGCAGGGAAGAGGGAGTCCCCCCTGATCTTTAGGGAAGAAATGTCCCTAAAATACATTCCCAGGTTCCTTGTAGTTCTAAATATTGGACTCAATTCAATTTAATTTCTTTTTCGAATTTCCCCTTGCTACACTTTAAAATGCACTACCTCAGTTTTGATCCATTAAAATTTGCTTAAATGTTCTAATTTTCAACAAAACTTACTCAGGTACAACTGTGGGGCGGTGGTAGCTGAAATAAAGTGTTGGTGATGGTATTCAACTTCAGAAATTCTCCCCTCAGGTCTGAAAATGTTTTCAGAGAATTTAGAGTTGAGCAACCAAAATATCATTGTTTGTTCTTTTGTCTCAAGTTTATTGTAGGAACAAAGACTTGACTTGCATGATTTAATGGCCAGGTCTCTACTTTTTATGTTGACATTTCTGAAACCAATAAACTCTCTGCAATGCATTGTGGGCACACGTTTTGTTTTCATAAGATCCTCTCTACCTTTAAAACTTTTATCTTTTAGTTATGCTATGTTTTTACTTATAAAACCATCTGTAACACATGGATATTACCGACTGTATCAGCCAAATCGGCAGTCTGCTGTCATACTGTTTTATTTTGAGTTAAAGCAACCGAGGAACTATGGAAAAGAGGGAAATAGCGAGCTTTACAAACAAATACTTGTCCAATAAAAGACTGTCAAAACTAAAGTAAGACTGAGGCCAAAAGCGCATGCAGGTTGCTTGCACCAGAGCACTGTGAAAGCTCTATGTGACTGCCTCCCACTGCCCGTCTTTCTGTCCTTCGCCTGCAAGCTGCGTTTTGCCAGGAGTGACGGTGGATGTGCACTATTCTAGTCACGAATTGTCTTCGTGGCAGATGTGGACATTTCTGGCCAAGGAAGTTTATACAAAAGGAGGAGGCTGTGGCTTGGGGAGAGGATAATCAGGCTTAAGGTCAGCTCTGCCACTCTCAGCAGTGAGAATGGGGTGGACGGTTAGAGATCCTCACAGAGTCCCTGTGTCCCCATCTGTGAAATAGGAATAAAACCATTGTGGCGTTATCATGAAGACTGAATTGAATGGGCAGTAGTAGAGAGAAGCTCATTTTTTGTTCAGATAGAGTGGGAGGGCGAGAAGGAAGAGAGAGAGAGAGAGAGAGAAACATCGACATGAAAGGGACACATCGAGTGGCTGCCACCCGCAAGAACAACCAGGGCCGGGGACAAACTGCCACCGAGGCACATGCCCTTAGCGGGAACCAAACCCGGGACTCCGTGGTCTGCAGGCTGACGCTCTAACCACTGAGCCAAACCGGCCAGGTCTCCTTAGGATCTTTAAAACAGAATACGTGTTGGCTGGTTCCATGGGCACAGGAATGATAGGGTTTCATTCTCTGTTCTCTTGAACTTCTCCATCACCTGGGGCAAACAGGTACCATTATGTCATCAAGTTGTCAAGAAGACTGCTTACTCTGAGCGGGTGGACAGCTACATTCAGACGGGAGAGGAAGGGGAGAAACAGGCAGCACTGCTCCCAAGAGGACGTCAGAGCGGAGCGGGGGGTTTGCAATCCTGGGTTCTCACCTGTGTGAAGCCCTGGTCTTGCAGAAAGATGAAAAACCCCAAATGTAAGGGAGTGTTTGGGAAGGACTGAAGACAATCTCCTAAGTTTGTGCATGCTCTTTCTGCTTTGTTGTTGTTATTGCTGCTGCTGCTGTTTTGGATGGATTTCACTTTATTTTTTTAATTATAAAATAATACATATCTGCTTAAATTGTAAAATTATAAATATATTGCAATATTTATATTGTAGTGGTTAAGTGCTTAGACTTCGGACCAGACTTCCTGGGTTCAAACTCCACCTCTAACACTTACTAGATCTGTGACCTTGAACAAGTTATTTAACTTCCTCGTGCATCAATTTACTCATCTGTAAGTTAAGAATAACATTAGTAAAACTTTGTAAAGTGGTTGTGAAGATAAAATGAGATAATGTTTATTAAACATTAACAATGTTTGGCAGTATAGTA